GTTTAAACACATCTCCTAGATAAGTGGATGACTGCAGACATGTTCTCTCAGTGATGCACGGTCTTAATCTCATAGAGTGCCTTCCAAAAAATAGCCAATGAGAAGAGTGGCTTCTGAGGGGATCCACTGGGCTGGTTCAATGCAGAGCAGAGAGGTCAGCTCAGAAGGTTACAGAGACTGTGTCCTGAGACTCACACGGGGTTTGTCTTGATAGATTTTTTCCAGGACATGGATCGACCAGAGGGGCTTGCTATTGTAAGTTTTAAGAAAATTGAGAACAGCATTTGTGAGAAACAGGCCAGGAAGGTTGCACTGAGATGTTTCCTCCCCCATCACAACAAGGTATTTCTGGGAAAGGGTCAGAGAGATTGAAACCCCTGCTTCAAGAGTGTATCGGCCCAGAGGGGAGCCATATCCAGAAACAAGAGCTGCACACCTTGGTGTCAGGGTAGCCAACTCCTAAGAAATCATCACGGGTCCAGTAGGTGCAATTGTACAGCTATAATATATAAAGATTATAGCATAGTTATAGAGAATAAGAGAGATAGGAGAGAGAATAAAATGAAGGAGTCAGGCACATTTCACAGTAGCATGCTCACCTCAGCCCTGCTTGGTGGTCCACAGAGGAATGCAGAAGGTGGGAAGGGCAGGGCAGAGAGTGGGGAAGGAAGGAGAGGGAAGGAGGGGAGCCCGGAGGCGAGGGTGCTGGAGGAGAGGGGACCAGGGACCAGAGGAGAGAGATTTATTTCTAACCAAGGCTTATATATCTTTGGGGGCATGCAAGCCCCCAATTACAGGTAAAGACATACGCCACACCAAGGGGTTGTGCTATAGGTAACACAGTAATGGAAGGGGGACGATCTAGGGGTATCCACACTATAGGAAGAGGAGGGATTAGAGATACATGTGTGACAAGATAGGTGGATCCTGGTTTCAGGAAGGCAGCCTGACTTTGGATGTCACTGAGCAGGTTTGACCTATTCTAAGCTCTCCAGGGAAACAATCACTATCCTATCAGGAGGGTGTGAGCCCCACCTACAGTGGACCAGACAGGAGTCTTATTGCTCTGGATGGCTGAATGCCTTCAGGGGGGTAACTTGACGATCATTTACCATTAGTTGCGAGCAGTGTGCTAGTTCTGACATGTATTTGGGGGAGACGAGCTGGGGAACAGCCTTTTAATATCCCACACCTTGGTCTTTTTATCTCATCAAGGGCTCTAGGATTCTGTAGCGATCCCCTCAGATTCACCCTTGGTAGTCCCCAGTGTTCACTGTCAGCACCACAGTTCAGATACATCAATTCATCCTCAGGCTCTGGTTTGCGTTGCACACCTGCCAGATGCATTAACAAGATGGAAAAGATCACGGTGCGGCACCGTGCACCTCACACATCCAAGTGACCCCATTGCTTCCTGAAAGCTGTAAAGGCACCTTTTGCAGCTAATTTGCCTCAGGTAGCCTGTCGTTACAATCATATACACAGAGATTCTCATAATGATATATAAAAATAACAACAGATCTCGACCATTTTCCCTAACAAAGGACTCACCGAAAGCAAACATAATACATGCAAGCTGAAAATACAGGACCGGGAACTGTACGAGGCCAACTCCCTTGGGGGAAAGAAAGTCTGGAGATATTTGTAGCTGTCCAATAAAATTCATGGATAAAAGCAAGTCGACCTTTTAAAGAACAAAGAGGAATATATGGCTGGATCAGAGTTTATATACATTCATGAAGAGGATAAAGCTGTCAGGGCCTACGATCGACCCAACACCATCACAGGTAGAAATTCAAGGAGTAATAGTCCAGGTCTTTCCAGACTTTTCTCAGAAATCAAAGTACCAAAAGACAAAGAAAACAAGATAGAATTTGAATAAGACCACCCA